TCACCCTGGCTGCGATGACAGCTGTTAATCGCTGTAGTTTGTAGCTCCCCGTGTGTCGAGCCCTTAATACTGGGACATTTCTGGAATCCTTATTAAAAAACAACACCTGCTTGGAACATTCCACAGGTGAACAGGCTCACTGGAAACAGGTGAGTCTCTTGATTGGGTATAAAAGGAGCATCCCTGAAAGGCTCAGTTGTTCACAAGCATGGCTGGGGTGAGGTTCGCCACTTTGTTATGTCTATGTAATGAGTGCAAGCGGGGCTCGACGTCCCCTTGTTTTTGTCTCTCTTTCCCTCTTTGTGTTGGGTGTCGTTGGGGCCCTGATTCACACCTTTTGCTCACAGGGGGCTGAGTCATACTTGCAATAACATAACATAACATTGTAGGAAGACAACTGGACACGAAGGCCTCCACCTCTGTTTAATGGTGGATGGTTTTTCTTCACAAAAATGGTTTCCTTTACTCCTCTGCTTTGTGTGTAAATAAAATGGTTACGTCCATGTTAAAATATATTTTTAAAATTTTTCAAAACTAAACATCCTGCAGTATTTTTACAGTTTTGATTTTACAGTTAAAATATATGTTTATCAAATAAAGTCTAATGTTACAACTAATCGTGGATCCCTTTAAACATCTACTGATTTCTCTATGCTGACAAACAAACTTTATTTGAAAGCTTGGGCAAATTTACATAATGAAGCATCACTTTTTATGTTGTAGGACGAGCAGAAAGCAGAGGATGAACTTGCTAAAAAGAGGGCAGCATTTTTGCTGAAGCAGCAAAAGAAAGCCGAAGAGGCTCGACTCCGTAAACAACAACTAGAAGCAGAATCGGAGCTGAAACGGGAYGAAGTCAGGTAAGTTCTATTCTCATCGTCAACACAAGGATCATCATTGTCCCATAAAACGCTCAAACTCGTGGTTTTTTTCTTTCAACGCCAGACGGAAAGCAGAGGAGGATCGTCTGCGTAAAGAGGAGGAGAAGACGAGGCGGGAGCTGATCAAGCAGGAGTATCTGCGGAGGAAACAGCAGGAGATGTTCGAGGAGCAAGGCCTCGTGAAGCCCAAAACCCCCAAACCCAAGCAGAAACACAAACACAAAGCTGTCTTCAGAGAGGAAGCTTCCAGCGATCATTTCTCTAAGTGCTCTTCCACACGTAAGACTGTTAACATCAATACTCAGCTTAAAGCAAAATACCAGAGTTATTTCCAATKTATTTTTTCTCATAATTGTTCCTTGTAGTTATTATTTATGTTATTGGTTTGAAATTACGGTTTTTTAAATTATTTTATTAGTTTTGAGGATTTGAAGCAGCCTTGATTCTAAAACCTCTAAACCTGAAAGCATTAGAGTTTATTGCTGTTTTTCCTGATTTAGTGTGGTTTTCAAGCATCTCACATGAAATAATTCTATAATAATCTCTGTTCCACACAGTCGACAACCTGAGTAACGCACAGTCAGGCTCCAATCTGTCTCTGGCATCTGCAGCCACCAATGAGGCCGACAGCGTCAACTCCGGAGGGGCTGGCTCTCAGCGGTAAATTCACCTGATTACATTTGTTTCTGCAACATCTTTTATTATATAAGTTTATTTTTAAAGTGAGAACATGAGGTGCATCAAATTGTCCTTTTAAGTTTGCTCAAGCTGTTATTTCTGCGTGTCCAGCTGCGACTCGGTGGAGTCTTTTCCAGGCAGTCGTAACAACAGTCGAGCTGCAGAAAGAGACTGGGACAACGGCTCCACCGCTTCGTCCATCACTTCTATGGCTGAATACACAGGTGAGCTTTTTATCAGACACCACTRAATAACAGGACTGTTTATCTCTTAATGATTGATCAGTAAGATGCAGATTGATGTGTCAGGTAGATTCAAACAAATTAATTTAGTTTTTTTTATCGTTTTAAACCTGGCTCCTGCTGTAGATATACCCAGTGTTTCCCCTAACATTGTACAACGATAAAGTTGAGAGGTCGTATTAATTACAGGAGTGACTTATGACTGCTTTTTTCTAATTTACTACCGCAATAAAGGTTCAATTTTTTTATATATATATAACTGTAATATTGTGTCTTGGGGGATAAATCCTCATAATTTCTCCCTCCTGCTGGACGTTGTGCAGAGCGAAGTGTATAACAACAACTGTAGCTGTTTTTCACACCACTAATTTGCTAATTTAACAATCAGCTTCTGCTCTGGGAGAAGCAGATCATTTTCTGCAATGATGAAGTTCAATGTATGGCAGGCTGTTTTAACATAAAATCGGTTTCACTGCACTTACATTCCAGATATCAGAAATCTGTTTATAACTTGACATATTAGTTATTTAAAATGTCTTTAATTATATTTTGACTAGGCAAAATGTCTGTTTAAGRTATCTCTAATTACATTCTGACTAGAATAAATAATGTCAGATTTACCATTAAGTTGTATGGAGGCTCCAATTCAAGATATCTTAAATTACATTATTATTTAAGGTACGTTAAATGTATTTTAGATATGATGTATATAAGATTTAACTAATGCAAAGTAAATTACAGACTTTTTCTCTTTTAATCAACACCATCATGTTTCTGCTGTTGATCTTCATTCTGTGTTCAAATCCCCCCACCCTCCCAAGGCCAATACTTCAGGGGAAACACAATACCAGCTTTTGTTTTATCTTGTTTGGTGCAGAATAATAAAATGATTAAACTGTTTTTAGGTCCCAAACTGTTTAAGGAGCCCAGCGCCAAGTCAAACAAACCAATCATTCATAACGCGATCTCTCACTGCTGCCTGGCTGGAAAAGTTAACGAGCCTCAGAAGAACCAGATCCTAGAGGTCAGTCTTTTGTTTGTTTGTTTGTTTGTTTGGAAGTGTTCTGTGTTTGATAAACTAAAATGCAATTTTTCAAAATAAGCTTCTTGCACAATCTGTGTTTGGTTCATTCTTTGTTTTTCGTTTTAATTTCAAAATAAAAAAAGTTTTTTTTTCTGTTTTATAAAACCTAAATGTAAAAATGTTAAACTGAACTAAAAAAAATCCATGGTGTTGATTGTTACTTCACTTAGCTAAACCCAACATAAAAGGTGTGGTTGTTGTTTTAATATTCAGCGATGGCTACYGAAATTTATTGAAATGAAGCATCAAAGAATAAAAGTTGACAGTGGCTGAAGAAGACTGCTTAAAAACATAAACCATTCCTAAAGATATTGGGAACAGCTGCATTGAACCTTATTCTTCATAACTTGGAATATTAAAGCTATTTTGTTCACAGTAAGATTTACTTCCTCTAAATAAGACTTGTGTTTGTTTCTAAAGTGCTCAGTGGAAATGTAACACCCCAGGAGTTCAGGCCATGATGAGTTCCAATTAAATAACAGAAGTATCAAATGGTGTTCTAACAAAATATAAAGCTCGTTTTTGCTTTAATCATTAAATTAAAATAAATTAAAAAAAAACGGAAAAACCACCCAATGATTTGTTTAAAACAAAAAAACAAACAAATGATGAACCATTCAAGGAATTTGAGCCTAAATGCTTTACAACATTCTCTAATAAAGGTTTTTTCTCACTGGGCTGTGAAAAAGTCTGCCTGGGTGTTTTAAAATGTAAAATATATTTTGTTCTAATCTATTTCGTCACTACATCTGTTTGACCTGCTCCTCCACCAGGAGTTGGACAAGTGCGAGTCCAACCACCTGATGATCCTGTTCCGTGACGGCGGCTGCCAGTTCCGGGCGCTCTACTCCTACTTCCCCGACACGGAAGAGATCCAGAAGCTGACGGGCACGGGACCAAAGAGCATCAGCAAGAAGATGATCGACAAGCTGTACAAGTACAGCTCGGACCGAAAGCAGTTCACCGTCATCCCCGCCAAGACCGTGTCGGTCAGCGTGGACGCCCTGACCATCCACAACCACCTGTGGCAGGCCAAGAGAGGCGCTGTGCCAAAGAAAAGTGGGAAATAACAGATGTGTTCTGAAGCTGCAGTCATCTAAAATCATCAGATCTTCATCACGCTCCTTTCCTGAATGGACTGCAACGAAGCTCGTTTGGAAACTGACCTCACCCGGGCAACACGTGGACATGTTGTTGGTCCTAGGTAGAAAGAAGGGAAATTTAGAATTTGCTTCTCCATGTGACGTCGGTGCGATCGGTTCGGTTCAGGTTTATTTCATTAAATTTTCTTTGAAGCAAGCATGTGGCGTTGTTTCTCATGTGGAGAACAATCTTTTTTTATTTTTATTTTTTACGTGAAGTATTTATTAGTTCAGCACTGTAGTGGTTGTGAGCTCAGCTGCAGCACTAAAATCCTTCCTTCTCTGGAAAAGCCTCCCCCTTTGGATAGATGTGGACACGATAGCAGAGGAGAGGGGGTCTTTGTACAACCCTTTAGAACTATCAGACTCGTTCCAACAGCTGTCACGTCCAACCAGGCTGGCATTACCGTCTTCTGCCTCATCAGTGATCTCCAAAAAGCTGCTGCTCTGAACTGTTTTTAGTTTTTTTTTATTTCTCTTTTCTTTGTCGGGGGGGCGGTCTCCCTCATCTGTTGGCCTTTCACGCATCATGGTACTATTGTCTTATTTATTCAGCCGCTTTTTAACTAAATCGTGTAGCACTGGATATGTGTTCATCGCAAAAAAAACCCAACTTCAATGGTCTTTTAAGTACCTTTTTATTAGTTAAATCATCCCTTTTTCTACAGGATGTGGAAAAAGTCGGGGTTAATAGGCTTTGGTACAACAATGATGCTTTTTTGTTTGTTTACCATTTAGCTTTTTWAAATTATTTTTATTGAAGCAATGTGGTCTGGAGTTTACGCCRGTGTTGTGTTTTTATCAGAAGGAGGGATTCTGTTTAGAGCGTAGTTCTTTCTCCATTGGACACGACTCGTCCTGTACAAAGGTGCACTCATGAACAATCGACAGCAGCTTTTCTCCTCCCCTCCCCCTCTGTCCTCCCGAGTGTTTCTGTCCCGTCTTTTACTCACACGAGCCGAGCTCTTATTGTGAAAGGGCGCTTCCTTACAGTATTTRATATAAATCCGGAGAGGTTTGTGTGTGAGGGGCAGGTTGTGGTTCTGTTGTGTTCCAACATTAAAGAACATTCCTCCAAGGTGTTAACAAACACTGCCACATTGTCTCTATTTCCTGTTTTTTCCCTAAAAATTAAAAGTGCTTTTCTTTTACATTCGTTGGCTTCGAGAACAACCTGAAAGTGTTGCACGAGCACTTTATTTTACTTTACCTTGAATGGGCATGAAAACTAATTTCTAACACTGCTGTTTGACACTCCAATAAGTTTAAAATAACGCTAAGAAGTTAGAAATACAGCTGACATCGATTACTACTGCGGTCTCCAAAAAAACAACTCGATACTTGAGAAGTCACTTTGCTGCATTTTGATGTTTTTTTTTTTTGGGCTTGGGGGCGGTGAGATAACCGTAAATGTATGAAAGTATATTTTTATGTTCACTAAACGATTGTATTGGCATTTGGTCATCATTTTGTTACACTAGTGTACTTTTCATCTTTGTTGATTTTATCTTTGATCCCATGGCATCTATTTATTTTGAAATGGAAGCACTGAAACAATAAAATTTCAAGTAAATAAGCCACATTTTTTTCATTTTCGTTTTTCTTGATTTGTCCATGTTTTCTTTGTTTGCTACTTGTGAACACCACACTGATTTTAAAACTTCACTTATTTTTTTCCGTTTTTTCTCCTGCATCTGTTCAGTTCTTTTCATTAATGGGTAACAGATAGCGTTTGAGTCAAACTGCAGAAGCGTGACGAGATGTGAGGAAGTGGAACTGTTGAGGCACCATCAGACCTCCCCTGGTGCGAACCGTCTCGTTTTATCAGCCAGCCGTGACCGCGGCTTTAACGCCAGCTCATAACCATGGCGAGMGCCGATCCTCCATGGAAACCGTGTTTCCTTTTTTTCACGCCCGGTTCAGGTGACCACGACACCGTCAAAACTTTGCAAACTGTCGGCTCGGAGTCGGATCTGCCGTCTTGACATGAAGGGTGAGCGTTTTCGATTTGTTTTATCAAAGCTGTTCAAAKTGCAGAAATGTTGCAGGTCGATGCGACTGATGCTCTGCTTCCACACAGGCGTGGCGGCGTTTGTTCTGGTGCTGATGGAAGTTCATCTCTGCAGTCCCTGTCGCAAAGTGGAATCTGTTCTGATCTGTCAAAAGGTCTTAGCAAGTAAGGACTTTGGATTTTACGCTTTTCACTGCATCAAAAATWAAATATTTAAAGGATAAAAAATAGAAAGATTTAAATTTTTCATTACATAAAACCAGATGTATTAATAAAAGTAAAAACACCCCAACAGTAAATGACTTTGGTAAAAATTACTTTCACTAAGATAAGTATTTGAGTCTCCATGGTCGCGGGTCGCCACTACAGGCAGCCACCATCTTGCACCGCCATCTTGTCTACGAAGGCTCATGAAGGACAAACTGCGGTGGCGGTGTCAAAAACGGTTTTAGTTGTAATACTATAAATGTAATATTTGTTGTATGTCATTAGCTACGTTCACATGGACAAAAGTAATMGGATTAAACAGCCGTTCGGAATAAAAATGTGTCATGTAAACAGCTCGTTCCGATTATTCTGATCCAATTGAGCTCGATCCGATGTATTTTTAATCTACTACTTTAGAATCGCTTAACTTTTTAATCCGAATGAAAGGGTGGGTTATGCCGATTGATAATCGGAATGAGGTTCATGTAAACACTTAATCAGATCATCTTATTCTGATTGTAGTAAACTGACCTGACTGTGCATGTCTGCTGACTTTCATTCACCCGGTGCGACAGCAGCCCTCCAGCTGCGCTGCACCGTGCAGAACTTTTCCTCCTCGCTCTCTTAACAGATGAAAAAGGAGGCAAACGGCAGGCGTTGCTTCGCAAAAAATAAAAACAAAAAGCACGTATTGCTTCATCTGCAGGCTGCAGCTCAACCAAGGAGTAACGGCGTCTCTACCGTTATTAAAAGCTGACACGGGTCCGTCCTGAGGCACAGAGGAGCTTTGTTTACGTTTGTAACACGGAAGTAGAGCTGAACGTTTACAACACTGCGCATGTCCGGACTTTTATTCTGAATAAAACTCCGGTGTATTTTCATGATCGGATTGTGTCCATGCATACTTTCGGATTATTAAATCTGAATACATTTCAATCCAATTAAAAAAATTTGTGCATGTAAACATAGCTGGTATAATTTTACT